AAATGTCTATAATGCTCATAGATTGTAAGTAATTTCCATGTCACTCATAGGTATCTTTTTCGGATTTTCCCTTAAGGATGCTTCATCAACTTATCAATTGTTGTCAACATACTTGAAATTTTATCCCTGTTAACCATAATTCTTATATTGTCTTACATTATACAGCCAGTTGATTAATCATCTTTGGAATTACTAATTCGTGTAACCCTTTATTATACTCCCTCAGATCAGTGAACTATGCTACTTTGGTCACAGCCAGGCTAATCATAGTGGCATCACATATGGTGAATCTCTTATTTTGAGAGTTGACTTATTCTTTACCTTCATTTCTTGATATCTGATAGTTACAGTTCTCTTGATTTAATATGTCTTCACATTATCTAATGCTCTTGCGCAGGCTGGCTTGGGACTTCCTGATACAGAAGCTTGGAACATGATCGAGACAATAGCAGAGAAACAAAAACTTGGATACAAATTACTGGTAAATTAGGCTTTCTGTTTATATCGTTTGGCAGTTATTGAAATGTCACATATTTTGTGTACTTTATACTCCATACGTTTGTAATTTTCAAGCTTTTTAATTGGGCTTTTGGAAACCCTAACCTACTGAGGCCATATCGTTTTTGCTGTATCTTGAATTTTGTTTCAGATTAAACTCAGAGGGTTCCTGTCGCATGTTCAGCAACTTCGTATCGGCTATTGGGGTGCTTCTTCATTTAAGCAGCAGGCCATATCTTCTGGGTTGCCATCCCCACGTCCCAAAGATGTCTCTGTCTCTGATGAAACCCAGCAACCCTCAGAAGCTTCTGGAAGGAGTTGGGTTCAGAGTATGTTTAGCAGAGATACAGCATCGAGAGCTAACTCGTTCAGTCGGGTTCGTAAGTGGGTATCTGATAATGCATCTTCAGGTATATCCATGATTATTCTGCTTTCTTTGTGGTTGCCATTTTGGCTTGTTGTTGCTGAAGTCAATATACAAAACTTGGCAAAACAGACATAACTGCTGCTGCGCAGAAGAAAATTCAGACCAATGTACGTGTTCTGAAGGGTCATGGCGGTGCTGTCACTGCCTTGCACTCTGTGACAAGAAGGGAGGTCTGTGATCTTGTGGGAGATCGCGAGGATGCTGGATTCTTTATCAGCGGTAGTACAGACTGTCTGGTCGGTATAAAATGCTTGATTAGAAAAATGTTTATATGGTTATTTTTCATTCATCAGTTTTTTGCTTTTAATGTTATAGTCATGGATATAGTAAATTAGAACATTTGGAAGAATAACTATGCCAAAGTATAATTGGAACAATAATCCACATGCTGCTTTAACTGCGCAATGTGTCAACTTTATATGGAGATTGTCATTGGTTGAAAAGTTTTCACCTAAGAGATGGTGATCTTTCTCTTAAATAGGATGTTGTAGTCTTTCACACTTTCATTTCTTAAAATTTAGATCGAGGTTAACCTTAGTTTTCTTCTAAGTCAGAATGGGTAATGACAATCTAGTATCCCCTTTTGGTTGCTTCCTGAATCTGAGCAGGTTAAAATTTGGGATCCAAGTCTTCGTGGTTCTGAACTCCGAGCAACTTTGAAAGGACATACTGGGTATACTCTATTTCTTATTCACCTTAATTCCTCTCGAGAATATGGTTTTTTTTTTGTTAATTTTTCATATGTTGTGGTTTCTTTAACATAGCTTCCTTTCTTTATTTCTTTTCAACTTTTGATGTAGAACCGTGCGTGCTATAAGCTCTGACAGAGGAAAGATAGTTTCAGGATCAGATGATCAATCTGTGATCGTATGGGACAAACAGACAACTCAACTTCTAGAAGAACTGAAAGGCCATGATTCACAGGTTTCCACTACACTCTAAGTGTTTTTCTGTCATTAGGACACAATTCATGAGGGGAGAGTATTAATGATCAACACTGAATAAACATATAGGCGTGGACATAATTAAATAAACAGATAACTATCAGTCATTGGAATCCCATTTGAAAAAATGTTGGAGCTGCCACCACTAGCATCTTTGCAGTATTGACCATTGATCAACGACAATTTGAATTTGTTAAGTTAATATTATTGACCAAAGTATTAATTATCAATCAGTCGTAAGGCACCAAAGAAGAAGCTAAATTATGGTGACTTACCTTCTTTCTGATTGTATGCTAACATCCAAAACTATTATGCAGGTAAGTTGTGTCAAGATGCTTTCAGGCGAACGTGTCCTCACAGCTGCACATGATGGAACAGTTAAGATGTGGGATGTTCGAACCGATATGTGTGTTGCAACTGTTGGCCGATGCTCTAGTGCCATTCTTTCGCTTGAATATGATGACTCCACAGGAATCTTGGCTGCTGCTGGCAGAGATACGTATGTATGCTATATTACCCATAAGTAACATATGGATTTTCGGTATTGAATGTCACTTACATATTCAACTATAATGATCGGATAATCATTAGGGTTGCAAATATATGGGATATTCGTTCAGGAAAGCAAATGCATAAGCTGAAAGGGCATACCAAATGGATACGGTGAGCCTAACCTTGATCTTTTACAACATGTTTCTTTTTGTTGTGAGTTAAAAAAATACAAGGTAATATACGTATGGCTTTTTCTTCCCTTACAAGTTTATTTATGATGGAATATCTGCTGGTTGTCGGGTTGTTTAATCTTATCATGGAATTGATTCATATTAAACATTTATTATTACTTGTTTGATCAAATTGTGTCAATTCTGCAGATCAATTCGAATGGTCGAAGATACCTTGATTACTGGAAGTGATGACTGGACAGCAAGAGTGTGGTCTGTCTCCAGAGGATCATGCGATGCTGTTTTGGCATGCCATGCTGGGCCAGTACAATCTGTTGAATACTCCCCATTTGACAAAGGAATAATCACAGGTTCATGATGATTTCATCTACCCCCAATTCCCAAAAGATCTATTAAGAACCATCAATTTCATTAATAACATCAAAGCTTAAGTTAATGCATTGTTGTCTTTTTTCTTGCAGGCTCGGCTGATGGGTTGCTACGCTTTTGGGAAAATGACGACGGTGAGAATCTCATTATTAACCTGGATCTAAACCCAATTTTCAACTATCAGTTGCACCAACCATTCACTTAATATTTTTCTTTTCTTGGTTTATAGGCGGCATTAAATGCGTGAAGAACATAACGCTCCATAGTTCTTCTATACTATCAATCAACGCTGGTGAAAATTGGTTAGGCATTGGAGCAGCAGATAACTCAATGTCTCTTTTCCATCGTCCTTCTAGTGCCGGAACCAAAGTCTCAGGCTGGCAACTTTATAGAGTACCACAAAGAACAGCCGCCGTGGTACGACCCTCCCTCTTTTCGTATTAGTTCAAAGTTGCTCTAATTTTTTCTGGTTTGATAGTTCTTATGAGATCCTGAAACACGTTGAAGCAGTATAATAAAACCACACAGTTATTAATCATTGTGTTCTACAACTCTGGCTAGTATGTGTCGTTCTCACTGAAACTGAATCTCGTATTTATGATTCAGGTGAGATGTGTTGCGTCAGATCTCGAGAGGAAACGGATATGTAGCGGTGGCCGGAATGGAGTTCTCCGGCTGTGGGATGCCACCATCAACATCTGATTTGTCTTCCACAACTTTGTCTTTGTGTATCTTTTAACCTTGTGTTGTTGTTACCTTGTATGTTTGCTTATGCCCTTTATGATTTGTGGTTTAACAAAAATTTTGTTTTTTTCTTTCTGAATACGTTTCTTTTATTAGCTTTTTATATATGTTATCTCAGTGATTCTTGTCTCGATCGATCCACTAATAAACTCTAGCGTTTTAAAATGTATGAAATGCGATTAGATTAAAAGTACGGACATTTCAAAATTTAGATATCCATATATTTGAGCTGATCATCATTATCTTCCGTAGACATGTTACACATTTACTTTGAATTTATCTTGGAATATTGCAATGCTCGTTATTCTCAGTTTTTATGGTTTTTTTAATCGTCTATTACATCATCGTATAATAGTAGAATGATATTTTTAATGCGATTTTGCAAGAATTGTAAGAGAAAGAGATATACTTATTATTTTCTTGTGAGAAAGAGAGAAATTGTGTCAAAGCGGGACGAATTGGCATTGTGATGAGTTTATCTACGAGTAAAACATAATATATGTGAAAAAGATAAAATTAAATTGTTTTGGAATTTGAAAACAATATCAAGTGGGTTCACACAATTCTCATGGTTATACTTATTATTTTCTTGTGAGAAAGAGATAGATTTGAGTCAAAGCCGAGGAATTTTTCTTGTGGTGAGTTAATCTACAAGAAAACATAATATATATGTGAAAAAGATAATTAAATTATTTTGGAATTTAAAAACAATATCAATTGGGTTCACACTAATATGATAATTATAAGAAACTGTGGCATAGATTAGTTCATGCCCACCCACGAAAACGAAGCCTCATTGACATTTATGTTTTGGTCGTGACACAAATAAACACTTCTTCTGTAGCAGTTTAAGTGATGTTTTAGAGAATTTTTTTGGTTTCATTTTAAATGATGTTTTTAATTTTAATATAAAAAATTAAATACATTTAATTTTTTTGGACCAATTATATTTTAGAGTATGTTTTTCTTATTGGTTGAATTCATTATATTTATTGGTGTTTTTATGTAAAAAAAATAAATTAATTGAAAGTTGTTTGTTTTTTTTTTCTTAAATGAAACAGAGGGAATACAAACAAAAAAAACACAAATGAGTAGCATTATAAGAGCATCCACAGTGGGGTAAGTGTGAATGTGGGTGTGAAAATTTTTTTATTATTATAATTTAAATAAAGAGAGAAAAAAGAGAGAGAGAAAGAAAGAGAGAGAAAGAGAGAGAGTGTCTTACACCCGAGTGTAAAGTTACACCCGGGTGTGAGGAGAGAGACAACTTTTCTCTTATTTTCGATTACTTTAATGGTCACACCCGGGAAGAAAATGCGCCATTGCGCATGGCCTAATTAAACATGTTGGTATAAATATAGTCATATAAGTCAACCCATCATTCGTTGACCCATTGGAGGAGCCATCATCTCTTGTTGCTGACCCATTCGCTGCTTTTGCACATTCCCAATCCAGCCTATATACACCAACATAGACAGGGAATAAGTAAAATTTATCATGAAAGAAAAAATCAAATACTATAATTAAAAAAAATCATGATAAATATTAAAAGTTGTATTATTTGAGAGTGGTTGGTGTTACCAATGGAAGGGTCAAGGCCACGATTTTTGAGCTCACGAAATTCTTGGCAAAGAGCACAGTATTCACAGAAGCAATGAGTGATCCAATCTGGAGCTGGAGCATCCGGTAACCCGTACTTGTTTCGGAGTTTGGCCCGGAATGTGCATGAGTATATACATGGTATCCCAAACAGACAACATATCAATCCATACAACATTCCACTCGTCCCACAAGCTGCAAATGTGTACATATAGTCATAAAAATACAAAAATAATATGGTTTTGAATCACCGAATCAAAAAATCGAAATACAAGAAACAAAATGACGCGATCATAGTAAATTTCATTTTTTTTCTGATTAGCTTAGGTAATGGCATGAAGACTTAACATAAATCGCCATTTCATAAAAAATTTTCTGACTCCGCAATCTCGTAGATTACCAATTATATAATCTATAGTGTAATGCATGTTACCTTGATATACATGTATGTTGATATATATGAATAAATATGCAGACTTACATGTTGCGCCTTCGTCGACAACCTCTGCGATCTGTCCGAACGTGACGAACGGGAAGCAAAATGTGATGATAGCTGATCCGAAAACACAACAAAGACGTCAAGATCATTATGTAACGTAACAATGGACCGACCAATAAAAATAAAATCATTGTAAAGTTTTTTAAAATATCTAACCATTTTCACCATCATTCATGCAATCAAAAAGCCCTGAAGTCCAGTTCGATGGTTGGTTAATAACTGGTGGTGGACGGACCATTTGTACTCCATAAGGTTGGTTGCCCATAGGTACTCCACTTGGTTGGTCAACCCTTCCACCATTGTTGGGATATTTCTGCTCGGCTTGGACCATTTTCTTTTCTTCAGGTGCATGAAATATCGGATTATAGTTATTGTTCATTCTTGGACTCGGGCTTCCATCGGGTCGATTTCCATCTGGTCGACCCATTTTAAAACCGAAGAGAAATGATGATTAGGGTTTGAGAGAAAAGTTTGTTTTTTTGTTGTCTTTTTTTTTGTTGTTGTGAAAGAAATTAGAATGAAGGTTTCGTTTATATAAAAGCTTGATTCTAAGCAAGTTGAACTAGTTTGAAATTTTTGCACATCTTCCACTTTTTATTATTTAATATACAACATTGTCATGTTGTATATAAATAAATTCGTCTAATGAATATTTTTCTTCGTTTATTCTTATTGATGAGACTAGCTCCATTGCCAGGATTCTTTTTGAACATGGACCTATGAGGCTATGAGCTAGTGTACAGCTTCTTTAGTATAAGAAAATATTCCCACAAAAAAATATTTCGTGTCTATGAAAGAACATGTATATATGAAGATGCCAAAAAAAGAATGTATACGAAGATTAATATAGGCATTTTTGAGCCATTTTTTGTAATTTTTAATACAAATTTCAGAATTTCGAGCCAGAATTTTGTAATGTACAGCTTTTTTTTATTTGGTTGTGGCCATATCCAAAACACAAACGATATTCATTATATTAGTCAAATGCGGATCCATTATACAATTATCATTTATCAATATCATACCCTCAGGTCCCTGACCTCGACCTCTATGACAATACAAGGTAGCTTAGTAAAACTTGGTTCATAGACATATATATCAAGTTTAAGTAAAACAATAACAAAAAAAAAGAGATATATCAGGTTACATCTATTTAAGTATATGTCGGCTTATATAACCCAAATCATAGTAGGTATAGATAACTTAGGATTATCTTTGACATACAAGATTAAAACGGAATATGTATACTTAGTTTTCTTATTTGCGCAAAAGAAAAATATTAGTTTTCTTATTTGCGCAAAAGAAAAATATTAGTTTTCTTCACTTGTATGAGTTGTATCACAAAACAAAGCTAAACCTTATATAAACATAAAAGATTGACTTTGTAATTTTGTTGACATCTATTGATGGGAACTTTTAAAATTTATATAATAAAACTGAAAAATACAAAACAAAAATTGGTATTGAGTCTATTGACTTGGGAAAATTATTGTTATTTGATAATGGTAAACATGATTGTCCATGCACATGGCTTTCTTTCTTTTGCTTAGAAGACTTTGACTTGGGCTGATGAGTTATTATGATCCAAGCTAAGGACTAAATATAAATAGATAAAATTAGTATAGGAATTATGAAGCATCAAAGTCGTTGTAGTATAGTGGTAAGTATTCCCGCCTGTCACGCGGGTGACCCGGGTTCGATCCCCGGCAACGGCGTAATTCTTTTTATCTTACAAACAGCTGAAATAATTTTGGGCCAGCCAACAGGCCCATATGTCTTGTTCAAAAGAAAAACTTTGAGATTATTTTCACCCTTCCCTTCGCTACTTCTTTTTAGAACTTTCAAAATAAGCTAAAATTTTGAGAAATTTCACTCTACACCTAATTAAAGCCTATATTTTGAAATAAACTTATTCTTGGGGTTACCGATTTGAATATATTGTTCTTTGCTTATGAAGTTGGATGCGGTTTTCTACGTTTAGCTTACTTTTCTTGTTCATGAATTATAATTTGTTTATGTGTTAGAAGAAAGTGCATTTGATACAAAATCAGTTATGTTGAGTTTTATAACAAACCAAACATTATTGTTTACTTTTCATATACCATACTCTCAAATATATATATAGTCTAGAACTTACTAAAATATATGTTACTAAGATGAAAATCCTAAAGTTACAAAAAATAAGAAAACATCAGTTATATAAACAAAAGTACTGAAGAAGGTAAATAATTCATGATTAGCAGAAACAACTTTTGCTTGAGTTCCATGAAATATGGTAAGACATACACCAGTTATCACTTATCATACTACACAAATGTACCTCCCATCTCTATGAATGCTATTTTCTTTGATTAGTGCATATGAGCCAGAATCTGATGAACTATTACAAAAAAAAATATTTTTAGTAAATGTATTCGACTATTTTCAAAACAAGTATCTGCAAAAAAAAAAAAAAAAAAGAATCAAGATATTGAAAATGTACCTACTCGTACATTGTGATTAGTTTAGTTGATTTAGGTATATCGTGGTCTACAACGTAAATTTCTCCCTTTTTGTTACCTAATTCAACAATTATGACTCCGTTGGGATTAAATTTTGACTTTTTTGTGAGTTTTAAACTTTGACTTTTTGTTGTACTGAATATGACTCCTACTTATTGTTTTGTGATTATCCTTGGACATTGTATAATCGAGAAAATTCCATAAAACCAATTCATTCTCACTAATCTCTAAATTAAATTAGTAGATTATATTTTTACGATAACACTACATAATTGAAAAATGGTGTATATTTCACATAATTATTGTCATCCAATGATATGTCATCAAGTTTTTTCATGGGAACATCCTACTCTCCATTTTTTCTCTATTCGCTATTCATCATGTTTCTTTCCCAATACCCTAACAAATATCAAATATCAAATACTAAACTCATTTAGCCTACACACACAAAACCAAACATAATTTCTACTTTCATATACTCTGACATATTTGTCTAATTTGAAACTTACTAAAACATATATTTACTAAGATGAAAATCCTAAAAATACAAAAAAATTACATCAGTTACTTTATATAAAAAAATAATAATATAAGGTAAACAATTCATAATTACTTATCAGAGACGGTTAGTTATCATACTCCACGCCTGAATATTTTTATCCCCATAAGTTTCATCTCTGTTATAAAAAATGTAAAAATAATAAAGATTATATAAAAAATGGGACATATGATTTACTCACATTGTTTGCACTTAACCATGACAAATTGACAACCGAATAATACAAGAAATTAAAACAACTATACATTCTCTAATACTTGATCTCTGGAATCTCGTCTCCCACCAGTTTGACACTACTAAAGTTTGCTACATTCCTATTGTTCTCTAAGATTTGTATACATTATTGAATATTTACTTCTTATCTCTACTTCTCTTCTAATCATATTTTTGGATTTGGTTCTTCCGTTTTGCATGTGCCTCTTCTATGTCAATTTTCAGTTACAAGAGAGCTTCTCTAATAAGTATGACATTGTTTTATCGGATTATTAAACTTCAATTTTGGCAGCTACGTATATATATGTTACTCTGCTTTTAGCATTTATAGTGAAATTTTCTAGTCATCACTTGGTCTTTGACTCTTTAGTCTGTTTTGGTTGTTGTATCTTTGAATACGAGAAATCCTATAGGCTTTTGTTTCAAGAAGTTTACTGACATATTGAGAAAAACAAAAAATCATAGATTTTTGAAATGGAAAAACAGATTCCTCTGCTGTACATTATTATTTGCCGCAGTTTCGCTATTCGATTTGAGAATGTACACAAGTTTTCAGTACAATATTTGTCAGTTATTACCAACTGTTTTGTTGTCAGTGCATTGTCGACGGAGCTGGATGTTGCTGCGGTAATGGTGGTACCGGATAAGCCGGTAAAGCATAAGGAGCAACTCCAAGATGATGATGATGGTGATGATGATGAGTTCCCATTGGAGGTGGTAGCATCACAGGTGTTCCAACAGCTGAACCCATATGATCAGGTGGTGCGATGATCGGTTGTCCCACTGGCGCACCACCATACATCCCTAATCCAGCCATTGTTGGCGGATGATGTGGTTGTGGTTGCGGTTGTGGTTGTGGTTGTGGCTGAGCTGGTCTATGTTTAACCACTTGTTGTTGTTGTTGTCCTCCTGTAACCGCAGGAGCTTGATTGTTCACAGTGGTGATGTCGTGAATACTAGACCGCCTTCTATCTCGGTTCATCGAGTTAAGCCGGATGAAGTATTTTTGAGCATGACTTGCAACTTGTGTCGGAGTTCTTGAGATCACAAAGTTCCTTGAAATGCTTCTCCAATCACCTTTCCCAAATTTGTCCAAACCCAAAAGAAACAACCTTCCAAGAAAAACAGAGAATTCAATAAAGGTAAAGATCTTTGAACCAAAACAGAGCATTGAATAAAGTTAAAGATCTTTGAAATCTTTTTTTTCACTCTTTAAGTCTCAAATGTCAATGGATAGATTAAAAGATGATGGAGATGAAGAAGAAGAAGAAGAAACCGATGCTCTTCTTCAGTCCATGGAATCCCTTTTCGTCTCTCTTGCTCAGCTCTGGATCCACTTCTTCCTCCACCTCCTCCATTGGAGCTACTTATCCCAGAGGTTCCAGGATTTGGTTTCTTCTCCGATGATCCAGAGGAATGAGAGTCTCTGTTGGCAGGAGAAGTTGCTGCTGCTGCTGCTTCATCAACGATGAGACCTTTGCGGTGATGATAACGAGGTAAAGGAACTTGACCATTCTCGATTGCTTTGACATCTTCTAAAAGGATTTGGTAATGTTTCTTTACTTCTTCTAAAGCTTTGCTTGGAACCATTGACGCCATTTTGTTCCATTGGTCCTCTGTTATCTCTTCCTCTACACAATGCAACGCAATTGCGTTCTCGAATGCTTTCTCTTCTTCTCTGCTCCATGTTGCCACCACACTCTCCATTCGATTGCTTCAATCTTTCACTCTGTATCTCTCTCTCTTTTCTCTTTGGTTTAATCGTGTGGTGGACATGACAGTGTTTGTGAAACGCATATGTGAATGGGTCAGATTCTTTACCTTTTGGAGTTTTGTGAAACTTATTATTTTCTTTTTGTGTGTTAAGTTGAGGTGCGCATGATAAGAGTGGACATTTGTATATGCGCAGGTTAGTAGGGGACAGTGTATTTGTATATGCGCATGATAGGGACTTTATCTTATTCACAAGGATCAATCAGTTGGGTTCGTTTTCTATTGTGACACTCATAAGGAAAGAGTACGCATAGGATAAGATTCTTGTAGTTGACGATTACTCTTTACTTTTCTTTCAAATTTGATCCTCATTCATTCCTTAGAGACTTTAGTCATTTCGATTTATATTTACTCGAAAACAATGCAAAAGATAAGTGAAGCTTTACCTTTTGATTTTATAAAACATTTACTCCTTCTGTTTCAAAATATAAAATGTTTTAGGATTTTTATTGTTTCCAAAATATATGATGTTGTATAAGTTTCAATGCAAATTTTCAATGTATTTGATACTATTTAAATAAAAGATAGTTTTAAAGAGAAAAACTAATTTTTTAGACTATGTGCTTTTAACTAAAACATATAATTTGAAACAGGGGGAGAATTTCAAAATTTTTATAAAAAAATATTTTTCAATGTGAAATTTTGTTAAGCCAAATGCAGTTTGAAACAATCAAATTCTAAATGTTGATCACATTTTAAAATTTTATATTAGTGAGCATCAAAGTAGTGTAAATGCAAAATTCGGAAAGAGAATAAGCTAATCGAGTTTTGAAAAAAAATATTATCAAGATCAAAATAAAATATCTTTTTCAAGATCAAAATATTTGTTGATGGAACATGCATAAAACCAAACTCAATTAAAGGCTCTTATTTAACAAATCGTCGAATACATAAAATGATGAATTTTAAAGACAAAAACCTAAAGTACTAAGAAATCAATTTCTAGAGATAGAAAAAAGGCTTTTGTTTTTTTTAACGTAATTTCTCATCTCTCCTTTAAATAATAGGTGGGTTCTATTTTTTTTTTTTTTTTAGAAATTAATAGGTGGGTTGTTGAATGAACATTGTTTTTCAAATAAGCTCGTATAATGGTCATCTTGATCTCGGACAAGTTAGTCAATTAAGTGTTCGGATTTTGCCGTTTTCATCTGATACTGAATTTGTCTAGGCTTCGCGAGGTAATGTGCCTTCGCGATGACGAGCTTGGTTGTTAGGCTTCCTGCGTATGTCACCCCAACAAAGCTCCGTACTATCTTTCACTTCAATAATATTGTGTTTTTTCAATTGTGAGATCTGACACCATATGTATATGGCCATTCAAAAGTCAGTAAATGAATCAAATTGTACGTGAAAAAAAAACAACTTAACGGGTACTTACTTGACTTCATTGAAAAATTGCTGGCTAGTTTCATTGTAGACAACTTTTATATTTCCAGTTGTTAAAATTTGGGCCTTTGTTGGAGACGTTTCTTGAATATTTTAACTAGTTTATATGTCCTGAGGAATTGGAACTTTCTCAAGATGTGTTTATAGGCCCATATACACAATAAGTGTTAAATTGTAATCCAATAATGTACGGAAGATAAAAATTATATATAGTTCCGAATATATCATTGGGTTACAGCTGGGGATTGAATCAAATTAACGTAATGTACGGAAGAAGAACTATAGAAGCTTTGTTTTCTGTGGGCTTCAAATTTCAATATGCCAATTATGAAAATAATTAAGTAAATAAATACATACTCTAATACTATGAAAATAAGGCTTAAAGTTTGGGATATGAGAATGATAGAGTACAATTAAAGAAAATGTCCGGTCCAACGCGACATTTGCGTGTTTTGACATCCATGCATGCGTACTATATTTATTCCGTCAATCTTATTAAAACCTTTTTGAGTGTATATTATGTAAACATTGTCAAATATCAAATATTCAGAAGAGAGTTTTCAGCTATATATCGTTGATTCATTTGCTTCGTATATGGATTTGATAATTACTATATTAACACTCTTGAGATTATAGAAGGAAACAAACAAACAAAAACCATTTTTGTCAACAAGACAACAACCAAACATAAAAATAACTAATGGTCATTCTCTTAATGGACAAAGAAAAGAAAAGCAAGTAGTAGACTAGTAGTATTCTCCTGTCCTGACATGCCATAGATATATAACTTTCTAATTTCATATAACTTCATTCTCTTTATATATATGATAAATCGTAGAAAATATAAAGTGAAATATCAAAGTCATCAACTAACAAAAAAAAAGAACGAAAAAAGAATATCAAAGTCATCATCAAGTCAACTACTACTACGACCGTGCATTATGGCGACGAATGTACGATATTCAAAACGTCGGACTACTCAAACTTATTTAGACAGCTCAATTAATTCGAATCTGATTTGTCCTATTTATTAAGTAGCACAAAAGTTAATTTGAGCATTTCTCGGCTTTTTTTAACCCGTATATCGAAACAATCTTATTTATGTAACAAATATAAAAGATCAATTGAAGATGTAAGATTAAAAATTGTGCCCAACCTCCAATAACATTAGGTCATACCAAATACAGTGTAATAAATTCAAAACTTTGACTATTTGGCTTTTTTTAAATGGTACCACGGCATTCTTCCTTGAACGTAAAGTAACCTTTTGACTCTCTTCTTTCCCTCATTTTCATACATTTTTTTTTTCATAAATCCAATACTCAAACCCCATACATTATGCCAAATATGTGATTAGTTTTGATCCGATCCATATCATAATTTGAAAAGTAAATTAAATTATTATGTAGTACTTTATTCTTCCAACTTATATAAAACTCCGCTCAAGCTGTAATTTCTTGGAGATTAACAAAAAAGAAACACCTTTTTAATCATAAAATCTCATATCTTTTTCTCTATCCATTTCTCTTATTTCTCTCTCTTTCTCTCTGTCTCCATGACCTCCCCTGCTTCTTCATCTTCATCAAACTTTTCTCTACAAGGTCATGAAGAAACAACCTAAGCCGTGTAGTTTCCTCTTCCACATCGCTCTACTGATCTCTGCGTTGTTCGTATTTCTTCTTATTTCTTTTGCTTTTACGACTTCTTACAAGCACAAATCCGGCATTAATAGTTTAGGCCATAAGAGAATTCTAGCAAGTAATTTTGATTTTACTCCGTTTCTCAAGAGCAAAGATCGCACTCAATGGCAACGTCAAAGTCAAAGCCTGACCGGAAAAGAAACCGGTTCATGGTACAATGATGAGGAACGGTTGGTACCTAGCGGTCCGAACCCTTTGCATCACTAGCTAAAAGGTTTTTGACTTGTTTCAATAGATTTTGTTGCTTTTTTGGATTAATATTTTGTTATGACAACATACATGAGCATGGATATATCATGATTATATATTTTGAAGTGTATTAAATTCATGTAACCATCATATTTGTTAATGGTTTCTTGATATGGATCTCGCCATTATCCTATACAATAATTGTTATGATGTTGAGAAAAAGTACATTATTCATGTAAAGATAAGGTACGTTTCGTCAATTTGTTGTTTTGGATATATTTTGTTTTTGTTGTAGTGTTAAATTTTGGTAACAGAAGTTATCCTATTTGGTTAAATGTAGTGTGTTTGAGTAAACAAAAAATAACACACACACACACACACAATGTATTTTCTCTATAAAAGTTCATTTTTTTGTTTAGAGTGCTCTCTTCGTTAAATGTGTCAAAATTTTAAAGAACGTTGCAGCATAAAGCTCCAAAAGAAGAGCATCTTCTTTCTTCTTTCTTCTTCTTCTTTTTTTTTTTTTAAATTTTTTTTAAAAAAGGAAAAATAATAATAATAAAAGTAATAAATAGACATAAATAAAAATTTTTATCTGGTAATAATAATAACTATGACAATAAAGGGACCCATAGCTCTACCTAACACATTCAACTCAAAAAAGAGTCTTTGGCATTTGGTTAACTGATGATACCATTTGGCAATGAAGTAATTACAAGAAGATTTGCTGAATTTTAGCTGAAAAGAAGAAGAAAATTAGCATAAGAAGAGAAACGTTACTGTTATTATTTTTTCTTTCTAATTAGGTGACTTTGGAAGTGTGGAAATGTTGTAATTATTTAAAAAGATTTTGGCTAAATTTTGTTTTTAAATAATAAAAGACGAATTTCTTGATGGAATAAATTAGTTTTGTGGGATGATTTTTAAATCAATAGTTGTTTTGTGTTAAGTTATATATATAAAATTATTATATAAGCTAATACGACGAAGATAAATATTATTTTTTATTTGTTGCAACATCAAACCATTTGGAAGACCAATATAATAAGTGGAGTCTCCAAATTAGACAAGATTTTGCTCTAGTGACAAATTAACGGTTCTTGGAATATAAACAATTCCTCTTCACTTTCAAAATGGATATGCGAAACAAGATCAAGAACATGCATTATATATATATATATATATATATATATATATATATATATATATATATATATATGGGTTTCAAAAAAATTATGGGTTCAACTTTAAAATCAATTAAAAATTAGTGAATTGGTCCATGTCATTTATGCATTACTCTATAGCTAGGTTTCACACTTCTGGTGGAGGATTCGTAACACCTTCCCTCGAAATAATGATTTCTTCATCCCACTTCAAACTAAATCTCAATATAGGACTAGCAATAAATCTTATTTGGGTTAACAATTTTGGCTTTAATACCATATTAAATTTCATAATTTTTTTAAATTCAAAACTAATTGACAATAAATAAGCTGGATCATGTCATTTATATTACTCTAGGTCTCGTCAAACTTCGATCTTCAATATAAAGTTTTTCATATTTTCCGTCCTATCAGATTTTTTTTTTGTAAACATTTTGTTTCGTTTACAAAAAAAAGTTTCAATAATTTTAGTTTATTTTATATATGTCGTTTTAATAATAGAAAAGTCGACCCTTTGGCTATTATATTAACATATTAATTTTGCTTTTGTTGGACCTAATTAACCTCTAGATTGGTTAGTTACAAGAATCTAATGAATTTATTTAAGTTTCCCAAAAAAAAAAAATCATATGATTTTTATAATGATAATTAAGTCATA